CAAAGCTAATACGTCACTTCAGGAGGATAATGGTCAGAGTATCCAGAATATGAAGGACAAGATTGGAGTGAAGTTCAAGGTTAAAATCAGTGACTGAGGTCCTAGCCGGTTTGGTTCAGTGGATAGGGTGTCGGCCTATTGAGGCGTGCAGGAGGCAGCCCATCAGTGATTCTCATCATTGACGATGTTTCTCTCTCTCCCTCTCCCTTCCTCTCTGCAATCAATAAAAATGTATTTTAAAAAATCTGCCGAAACCGGTTTGTCTCAGTGGTAGAGCGTCGGTCTGCGGACTGAAAGGTCCCGGGTTCGATTCCGGTCAAGGGCATGTACTTTGGTTGCAGGCACATCCCTGGTAGGGGGTGTGCAAGAGGCAGCTGGTCGATGTTTCTCTCTCATCGACGTTTCTAGCTCTCTATCTCTCTCCCTTCCTCTCTGTAAAAAATCAATAAAATATATTAAAAAAAAAAAATCAGTGACTGAGTGTATACCCTGGTGGGATGATCTGAGTCAGAATAAGGGTCAATGAAAATTTTTATTTAATTTAGAATTCATTATTGTTGAAAGTATTACACATGCTCCGCCCCCCCCCCCCATTGACCCCCTCCGGACCACTCGCACCCCAGGCCTTCACCACCCTATTGTCTCTGTCCATGGGTTATGCATATATGCATACAAGGTCTTTGGTTAGTTATCTCCCATCCACCCACCCTCCCCCACCTTCCCTTTGAGATTCCACACACTATTCCCTGCTTCCATGTCTCTGGATCCAGTCAGTTCATCCATTTGTTACTTAGATTCCACATATAAAGTGAAATCATGTGATACTTGTCTTTTCCTGACTTATTTCATTTATGATACTCTCCAGGTCCCTCCATGATACCTGAAAAGAGATTCTTTTTATTGCCGCAAAGTATTCCATGGCATATAAGTACCATAGATTTCTATACTCATCTACTGATGGGCAATTGGCCTATTTCCAGATCTGACCTATTGTAAATTGTGTTGCTAGGCACAGGGGTGTATGCATTCTTTCTGATTGGTGTTTTGGGTTCCTTAGGATATATTCCTACAAGTGGGATCACTGGGTCAAATGCTAGTTCCATACTTGACGTTTTGAGGAAACTCCATACTGTTTACCATAATGGTTGCACCACCAGCAAATGTACTGGGGGTTCCCTTTTCTCCACATCCTCGCCAACACTTGTCATTTGTTGATGGTAGCCATTCTGACGGGTGTGAGGTGGTACCTCGTTGTTTTAACTTACATCTCTCTGATGATCAGTGACTTTGAGCATTTTTTTCATGTCCCTTGACCATTTGTATGTCCACTTTGGAGAAATGTCTATTTAGGTCCTTTACCCATTATTTAATTGGATTGCTTGTCTTTTGTTGTTTGAATTTCTTATACTTTTTGGATATTAACCCTTTTTCAGATGTATCATTGCCAAGTGTGTTCTCCCATACAGTGAGCCCCCTTTTTGTTTTGTTGATGGTTTCTTTTGCTGGGTAGCAGCTTTTTATTTTGATGTAGTCAGAATAAGGGTCAATTTTAAGGACAACTTCACATAATCAAGTCCATAGCTTGTTGGAATAAACTGAGATGAAGGTAAGCACAGCAGTATTTCACATCCATACTGTGAGTTTGGATCAAACCAGCAGAAGTATTGAAATGAGTTTGTGTTTGTGCAACAAATCCATTCAAAGACATTTTTCTCAAAAGTAACTTATTGCTGCCGGGCCTGTGTGGCTCAGGAGTCACATGAACCAGGAGGTCACAGTTCAACTCCCAGTCAAGGCAAATGCCTGGGTTGTGGGCTAGATCCCCAGTGTGTGTGTGTGTGTGTAGGAGGCAGCCAATCATTTTTTATCACTGATGTTTCTCTCTCTCCTTCCTCTCAGAAATCAATAAATGTATTAAAAAGTGACTTATTGTTAGAGCAAACATATGAATGTAAATATGTCAACACACATTCATCTCAATTCACACTCTTTCTGGGAGGTAGAGCAAATTCAAATGAACCTCAGGAGTATAACTGAAAATAATTCTTACTGCTTGGTGAAGCAAATGGACTTCTTTCAAAAGCACATTTATGGAGAATCTAAGTAGGAATATGGAAAAAGTTAGTGTATTAGTGCCAGTTATAGCCATTGCTTCTCACTATAGATAAAACCAAATTTAGATGAGCATAGTGTGTATGTGTAAATTTAGGTATAAATGATAAAATCAAAGTCATTGGGCTGATGAGATATTAGGTTAATTAGTCCCAGATTTCGGTGTAAGCAGAGTTGAATATTAACTTCAGTCAGGCTTGATTAGGATCCGTATCTTGTTTTTAATATATTTTTATTGATTTCAAAGAGGAAGGGAGAGGGAGAAATAGAAACATCAATAATGAGAATCATTGATTGGCTGCCTCCTAAATGCCCCTCTCAGGGATCGAGCCCACAACCCAGGCATATGCCCTGACCAGGAATTGAACTGTGACCTCCTGGCTCATGGATATTTGCTCAACCATTGAGCCATGCTGGCTGGGCAAGGATTCGTTTCAATGGCATTTCAAGGAGACCATGTTTATAGGATGGCCATCAGTAACAAGATGAGGGTGAAGATCAGAGTCAAGGTCAGTTTACGGTCAAGATTAAAATTAGGGTGAACTATTTAATGGGATCAGGGCCACCTACAAGGTTACATTCAAGCTTATTTCAAGGTAAAGTAGGTTAATGTTAGAATGATCATCAGTTTTAGAATGATGGTCAAGATCAGAAGTCAAGTTCCATTTTCATGTCATGTTCAAGGTTAAGACCAAAGGAACAGAAGCCTGGTTTGTAGAGCTGAGCATCAAACCAGGTCCATATACCATAGCCCCAAGTTGGAGAGGATTTGTTTCTCTAGAAGCCTAACAGAACACCAGTTAGGCCCAGCTCAGGGAATGGGACCAGAGAAGATTTAAGCCACAAACCCTTATCCATGGTGGAATTATAATGGTGAGCTCCTAAGAATGTTATTTTTAATGCAAGAAGTATGAACCAAGTACAGGAACAAGAAACCAACTGAGGAGCCTGAGAACCCAAAATTCTACACCAAAGTAGAATCCAAGAGCTATGTAAACATGGCAATTCTGCAAAACCTACACTCACCTACTGACCAAGACACTGTACTTTATAAAACTGGTTCTAGGTGGCCTCTCTTCAGTTGCAGTTGGTGACTTACATATGCTAGAATACAGGGCCTCACTGCCAAATCTCTCCTATAAAAGATCAGAAATCCAGAACTATGTAATTCTAAGGACCAGTAAATACACCAATTAAAAAACAAAACACAATACAACACATTCAGGCTGTGCCTGGTCCACAGGTCACCAGCAGTTTGTTGCTGCTCCTGAAAAGGGCCAATGTTTTCCATCCAGGTACCCCTCCCCCAATACCATGATTAAAAAGACAAAGCAAAACAAAAAACCAAACTAGGGATAGGTACTGCAGGATTGGATATAAGAAGGCCTGTCTCTCAAAGAGCCACGTGTGCCCCGTTATGGGGGGCTCTTCTGCTTAATGAAGCATTGGTTATGATTAGCTAGCATGGTGTCTGCCGAGCCAATGGTCTAGGAGGAAAAAAGACAGGGAAAAGGCAGATGGTCTTTGCTCTTGTTACATTTTATTGGCATCACGTTCATCTCTTTACAGAAGAACTCAGCCCACACCCTAGAATGTAGACCTTTGAAAAAACGGAAGTGCTTCGTTAAGCAAGCTACAATGCAGGGGCAGATTCTAGGGAGGGCACAAAACTGCCAGGGTTCCATACCAAAGAAACAGGTTAAGCATTAACGGGCAATATAGGGGAGAAGGGCGGGGGGGAGGAGAAAAGGGTTTGCTAACCTAAGGATGCCACAACCCTGAAAGGAGTGCCTTCTAGAACAAAGGTAAAATCACTAGGACAGATCTGTTAGGATTTTCTTTTTCCTCATATAAGCAGGATGCTGATCTAATGGGAAGTTTCAAAGTGTGGAGCAGGGGGGGGAAAAAAGAATGAGAATTTTAACAACAGTCGTTTATCAACTGCACACACCACTCTATTATGCAAATCAACCTTTTGGAAATTTTAGATACAGAAGGGAACTAGATAGGTTTCCCCCTGGAGAGATGAAAAGCTTTTTGGCTCTTAAGTCTTTGATAAAAGGCGTACGTAATTCTTGTGCCTACTGTACAGAATACTGCCTCTAGCTGGATTTCTGAATTCTGAGTTGGTAACAATCTGCAATCCAGACAGGGTTCAACCCTCCATCTTACATGCCTGCATTACAGGACTTAAACACATAATCCAAGAATTTCTTACACTAATTTATATACTTTTAATTGGTTGCATATATTAACATGTACTATAAGATTCTTTTCTAAGAAGCATTACATAATAAATGGATACTGTAAAAAGATCTGATTAGTTAAAAGTAACAAGCATTAACAGATACATACAAAACTCAGCCTGATCAGACTGGGTGTGAGCCTGTAATGAAGCATGGGGCACCAGCCTTCCCAAGTGATAGCCTTCACAGAGGGGGGAGGGGATGGGGTAAAAAGATCACAAGACCGTTTTTTAAAAAAAAAAATCAAGATAACTAATTAGACACAGATTAACTGTAAACAGTTCTCTCTCCCTGGTGGACGAAAAGAATAGGCTTCTGATTCAACTCTATACCAGAATAATTTCTGCAGCCGGCCCATCCTGTTGCCACATGAGGGCGATGCAGTGGGTGAGCAGACCCTAATGGAGTCACCACAGGCCTGGGCTGCTGGAGTCTGTCTGCTGTGTCTCGTGTGTGTGTGTGTGTGTGTGTGTGTTTTGTATGGAGAGGTGAAGTGTGTTTGGTGGGGTTTCTTTTGGCAGCTGGATATGAGATTACTTTATGTGTATGTTTTGTTTGAAAGAGGAGAGGGGAGTTTGTGTTGGAAGGCCTAAGTGTGTTCTTGGTTTGTGAAGGGCTCTGTGCTCTGCTCGGACTGCCCATTCAGCAACTGCAGCTTTCTGCCGAGGCTTTGGCTCGGTCGTTCTTGTCCAGTTTGATGGGTTCAGGAAATTCATTGTACAGTTCCACCTCCGTTTCCTAGTAAAGAGAGAGCAGAAAGGTTTGTTACTCAGGGCACTGGGCAATCCCTGTGGCATATTTCCACCTGGGCACAGCGGGTAGAGTGGGGACAGACCTAGCAGTGGAGGGAGGGCTCTGGCAAAAGGCACCCAAACCCTCAAAAGCTGAGGAAGAGGAAGAAAGGTTTGGTGATAATTCCAGGACAATGTGAAGAGAGAAATTCACAGGAACAGCCGTAATCAACACTGGGCATTCAGGACAGAGGCCCTGCCTCAGATCACAATCTGGTGGCTGGGAGACCACAGCCAGCTCACAGGTGCTTTCAGTGTGGTCCAGTCACCAACACAAGAAGAAGATGCCTGGACTTGGGCAACGCTACAGGCAACAATGAGCTAAAGCAGAGCGCTAGCTGCCTCTCGGTTCCAAACATTCCTCCAGTTCTCTGTTTGCCACTCAGTTTTCTGGACTTAGGGTCTCTTTTCTTTTACCCCCAAAGGTTTAGGAGAGTTGTTTCCAAATGCTGCATGTTTAGAAACCGGCTGTGGATGAATTTTATCACCATATGTGGTAAGGAGGGACTGTGGCAATTTAGTGGGACTTTTGCAGTTTTCCAATGGGGAGCAGGCTTCTACTTCTTAGTGTAGGAAAACTATTTGTCACTTAAGCACTGAGTACCAACCAGTGTGCCAGGAACTGTTCTTAGGATCTGGAGTTTGAAGCAGGAATGTTTCTATTCATTAAAAGTTCCCTTGGGAAAATTACTCCATTCACAATAGCTATAGTAAGTAAAAAAAAAAAAGAGAGAGAGCAAGCGCCCTGTCTCCACCTGACATTCCTAACCCTTGCCAACCACCTATCTACTTTCTTAACAGATTTGCCTATTTTGTACATTTCATTTGATGGATGTTTGGGCTGTTTCCACGCTTTGGCTATTATAAATAACACTTTTATGAACATCTGAGTACAAATTTTTGTGTGAATCTGTTTTCATTTCTCTTGGGTATATACTTAGGAGTGGAATTGTTGGATTATATGGTTATCTTATGTTTAAGTTTTTGAGGAACGGTTTTTCAAAGTGGCTGCACCATTTTACATTCCCACCAGTACATGCGAATACATTTAATATAAAAGGCAAAGGTTCTGAAAAATTAGAAAATCTTACTGAAGCATATAACACAAGGCCTAAAATAGCTGTTAAAGAATGAATGTTTGTATCCCTTCAAAATGAGTATGTTGAAGCTCTATGTGATCGTATTTGGATTAAATAAGTTCAATGTGATCATATTTGGATTAAAAGAAAGTAATAAGGTTAAAGTGAAATTGTAAGGGTGGGGCCCTGATTTGACAAGATAATGTGCCCTTATAAGACACATCCGAGTTCTCTCTGTCTCTCCCTACTATTCTCACCCCTCTGCATGTTCATACAGGAAAGGCCAAGTGAAAACAAAGGCGGATGGTGGCAGTCTGCAAGAGATGAAGAGAAAAAGAATTTTCTGGCACCTTAATTATGATCTTTTGGCCTCCAGAATTGAGAGAAAATAAAATTTTGTTGTTTAAGTTACCCAGTCTGTATTTTGTTATCGCCCTGGGAAGATACTAATACAACAGCTATAATGCAATTCCAATCAGAATCTCAGTAAGGTTTTATTTTCGGGAAGGGTGAGGAAAGAAAAATGTGGAATTAAAATAAAATCCTTAGTCTTCGTCTAAATGGAAAATGTACCAAAATTGCCAATAAACAAAAAAAAACAAAAAACAAAAAAACAACCCATACATAAACAGGACTGTGAGGGGAGACTTGGTCAGAACATACTGTAATGATAGTCAAAGAACAGATAACAGAACAGAATGGGAAGACCGGGGGCGGGGGGGGAATAAATGTGTGTGTGTGTGTGTGTGTGTGTGTGTATATATATATATATATATTTTTTTTTTTTTTTTAATATAACAAAGGTAATTTTTCAACCCAGTGGGGAAAATGGTTTAATTAACAATTACCTACTAATATTTGAGATAATTGGCTATCCCTCTGAAAGAAAAAGGTGAGTCTCTGTTTCCTGCCATAAGCCAAAATAAATTCCACCTGAATAACAAAACACGTGAGCTAGACATAGGAAACCCAGAAATTTAAAATGACATACCTATCTAAAAAATTTTCCCCTATGTATAAGGAGATGTATGTATCTATACATATCTATATACATACACTATACTTTATATATAGTATATAAAACAGCAGAGTTGGGGGGGAAATTACTTTCAATACAGGTGAAGTTAATTTCAGTTCACAAAGAGCTCATGAGAACTGACAGGTGTCCAGGAAAGTGCTGTGCTGGCTACCTGTAAAACCCAAAGGTTGGCAGAGTGTCAGCAGAGTTACAGATGATGCCTACCACCTGCTGACAAGGAGATAAAAGAAAACTTGCATTGCTAGTGGGAACTAAAGTATTACTAACCTCGGGAAAAACAATCTGGTGTCATCTCTTAAATGATATATCTGTTAAATTTAACAATCTCACTCCTGAGAGGCTAGTTTATAAAATACAAGCAATATAGTAAGGCTATCGAGAGAGCAATATTCAAAGAGAAAAACTCCAACAGTGATGGTAGTCAACAGGGAACTGGTGGAAAACAATTTCTCATACATATTTAGTTTTGCATGCAATCGGAAAAAAACAATAGGTTATTAATCTAAGTGTGAGAGTGGGTTAAAGGCAGGGGGAAAGAAGGAGACAAAAAGCCGGTTTGGCTCCATGGATAGAGCGTCGGCTTGGGGACTGAAGGGCCCCGGGTTCAATTCCGGTCAATTGCGGGCACATCCCCAGATGTGCAAGAGGCAGCTGATCAATGACCCTCTCTCATTGATGTTTCTAACTATCTCTCTTCCTTCCTCTCTGTACAAAAATCAATAAAATGTATGTAAAAAAAAAAAAAGGAGACAAAAAGGCAGCCTGCATCCTGGTCAGGTCCTTCCTGCTGTATCAGTATTTCTCAGTGGGGTCTCCTGGCATTTTGGGTGGACCAATTCTTCGTTGGGAGAGGGCTGTCCCTTTTCATTATGGAATAAATGCCCCTAGTCTTTGGAACAACTCATTCCAAATCTCTCCCTGCTCACAGGTCCAGAAACCCTCTCTCTCTGAGACCGGCTGCCATCTAGTTTCCTGGAGCAAGCAGAACCTGCTGGCCCTTTACCACCACCATATGCTCCCTCAAATGTTCTCTGCCTGCCAGATGTGCACCTCACCTCTGACAACCCCTCAATCCGTGCCTAACTACCACACATGACTGACAGTGCTTCATGACTTGCCTTACTGGCCCTAATAAAGCTGCTAAAATGAAAAACCTTCAAATCCCCCAAGACAACACCTACCATTTTATCTGTGAGTTACTGAGTAAATAACACAAGAAGGAAAATGCAGGAAAATTTTACTCAAGGAATACAACTCCTAGAGCTTCTGGTTAACCTTTCTGATAACAAAAGTCCATCTCATTTCATCAGTATAACCACTGTGCAAACCTGCTATTCTCATTTTAGAGATGAGGAGATGGAAGCTCATAAATGATCAACTAGATCTGATGATGGGGGATGGAACTGGGATTCAATTTCAAGTTTATCCCCTCCATAAACAGAAGAAGTAATCCTACCAGGGGCCTCCAAGTGGCCTGATCTCCTTAGCATGGGAAGACAACGAGAACATGCCCAGCCAAACAAGGGTAGCCTCCGCTTAAGTCCTCATTGCCCTGCATCATTCAGGTTATTCATGAACAAGTGGCATTTCTAGAAGCTTTAGCAGAATGTGCCATTACTTCCCATATAAACATTTCCTAGCTACATGGAAAAGAGAGACGGCTAGGAAAGAAGATATAGAATAAGGAAGCCAGGCATGATCTGGGTCAATGGCCAGTCATCACCCAGGGAGCCAGACAGCTGCCAGAGACCCACCTGTTTAAGTGCATTCCGTGCAATCGTCTGGAATGCCTGCTCCACGTTGATGGCCTCCTTGGCACTAGTCTCAAAGTAGGGAATGTTGTTTTTGCTGTAGCACCAGGCCTGTGCTCGTTTCGTGGCCACCTGGAAGAGGAAGCAGGGGTATGTGTACTCACATTAGAAGCAGCTAGCACTGACTCAATCCTTCCTAGGGAGGATTCTAGTCCCTAGCCTACAGGAAGCACAAGTTGAGGAAACGCTTCAGGCATGAGGATGTGCAGTGGGTTGGGGATGGAGAGACCTGCTGGCTATGCACTGTATAGCTAGGATTCAAACTCAAAGTCCGTTCTGTCTACAACCCATGGCTTTTGACCCTTTGCTACACATAAAAGCAACTTGTGAAGGGAATAAGAAGCCAGCCCAGGAAGAAATGAATCGTCTCTCCTAGGGCTTCAGGAAATGACTAACAGCTTGGTCTTAAGGTTTGCAATCCCTTCTCCATTACTGCTAATGTTATGTCACCTGTGCCACACACCAACGTGCCAAAGAATTCTGCAGCTCTCAACAACACTCTTGCCTCTCACATCCTAATTCCGTTCTCTTATCCCAGCCCATTTTCAGATACAAGAGCAGGACTAATTTACTTAGGAAAAAAGAGATCAACGGTCAGAAATAAACTTAGCTATGATTAAGAAAAAGTCTATGTTCCCAAGAGAGATGATACATGAAAGTAAACCAGAGTAATTTTACTCAAAGCTCAAAGCTATCTTCTATACCAATGAAGATCTAGGCAGGTCCTTGAGGCATTGGGAGAGCACTTGAGAATGACAAAATCTAACTCCTTTTATTTTAAATATATTTTTATTGACTTCAGAGAGGAGAGAGAGAGAGAAACATCAATGATGAGAAAGAATTATCGATCAGCTGCCTCCTGCACATCCCCTAATGGGGATCAAGCCTGCAACCCAGGCATGTGCCCTGGCTGGGAATTGAAACACAATCTCCTGGTTCTTAGGTTGATGCTAAACCACTTAGCCATGCCAGCTAGACCCAATTCCCTCCTTTAATTGCAGAAAGGGAACTGAGGCTCAGAGGCCAATGATAATAGCCCAATATCAGAGCCAGCTGGGCCAGCACTGGGATTTAAACCATGTCTCCTATGCCCTGATCCTTACAGGCTGCTGGTCTAAGGGTAGCTCACACTCTCACGTGAAAATACTAGAAACAATTCTGGGCTTAGCACAGAACCCTTCAAATTCACATGGTCCCTTAGAAGCAAGTGTCTCTCACAGGAGAGGAAATACTTTCAAATTAACAATGCAGCCTGGCTGGCATGGGTCAGTGGTTGAGCGTTGACCTATGAACCAAGAGATTGCAGTATGATTCCTGGTCAGGGCACATGCCCAGGTTTCAGGCTTGGTCCTTGGGGAGCCTGCAGAGGGCAGCCAATCAATGATTCTCTCTCATCATTGATGTTTCTATCTCTCTCTCTCTCAGCAATAAAAAATAAAAAAGGCAGGGCAGGGCCTCTTTAGGGGGTTAAAAAAAAAGTGCGAACGAGCCAGACTTTTAAGTTAAATTCTGACTTTATTTATTTTTGTTAATCTTCACCTGAGGATATTTTTTCCATTGATTTTCAGAGTGGAAGAGAGGAAGGGTGAGAGAGAAACATAAATGTGTGAGAGAGACATCAATTGGTTACTTCCTGCACAGGCTCTTTGGTGTGCAGGTTGATGCTATAACCCAGTGGTCAGCAAACTGCGGCTCATGCAACTCTTTGGCCCCTTGAGTGCTCTAACATCACTTCTTCAAAATAGACTCGCCCAGGCTGAAAACCAACTTCTGCACATGGGCCACGAAGTTTTAGTCGCACTGTACGTGTGCACCTGCACGTGGTATTTTGTGGAAGAGCCACACTCAAGGGACCAAAGGGTTGCATGTGGCTTGTGAGCTGAGGTTTGCCGACCCCTGTTCTAATCAGTAACACTTGCCAGGGTAATTCTATCTTTAAATCCAAAAGACCAAATTGCAAAATACCACATAGCCTCAAGTCAAATTGTTTCCTAGGGACCATGAGAGGTGGCCAACGCAGGCAGCACCACAGCATAGACTTGCTGCTTTGCTGGCATGACTTCAAAGGGAATACCACCACAGACTTCACAGTCCCTATCTCACCACAGGGAAGCCAAGATGGCATGCCTTTTCCAAGTTAGACAGTAAGACCCCATTCCAAGGGCTTAGCACGTAACTCATTAGCCATTCCTTCCTCCACCCCCCACCCTGATGGAGGCACACAGACATACAGGGTACTGGTCTTTGAGGTATGTGGCATTATACCAATCAAAGCTGAAAACAGCACCTGCCATCCCAAACTTAGCTGTCACTTTAAGACAGCCTTGTCTATGAACCAACAGCCATAACCTACATGAGGGTAGATTCATAAGCCTCCACATTTACGATTCCCACCACATTTAGCACTTACTTGTCTGTTTTCAAGGTCAATCTTATTTCCCAACACCACGAAAGGAAAGTTTTCAGGATCCCGAGGACTGGCCTGGATGAGAAACTCATCTCTCCAACTATCGAGGGTTTTGAACGTGTTGGGGGCAGTCACATCAAATACCAGGACGCAGCAGTCTGCACCTCTATAGAAGGCCACACCAAGAGACTGGAACCGTTCCTGTCCTGCTGTGTCCCAGATCTGTGGGAGACAAAACGTTATTCCTTGGAGTAGAAGCACCAGGAGTGAGGGAAGCCAAGGATATGAGATGGATTATAGAGCCAGCCATAGACAAGTGACTTCAGAATCAGGAAAAGATTTCACTACCAGAGTATCTAAAACAATTCAGACAAATAGCGTAAATGTGAGTATGTGTGTCTATGAGGGGTAATATAGAGTGTGAAGTCTGGGGCCCTAGACATTTTTATTTTAATCCAGGTGGTAGTCACATTGGTAGATATTTAAGTAAAATTCACACTACCGTATTTTCCGGCGTATAAGACGACCCCCTAATTTTACAGTTAAAACATAGGCTTAGGCCTATATTCACTGTATAAGACTACCCCCCACTTCCGAGGCAACACCAGTTCTTTTTTTTAATAGACTGCCTCTCTGACTCTGGCCAATCTGAGCAGGCTTTTTACTAGAACACAGTGTAGCTTTGGGTACAGAACATGTATAATTTGCATGCATAAAAAGCCTGCTTGGATTGGCCAGAGTCAGAGAGGTGGTCTATTAAAAAAAGAACTGGTGTTGCCTCGGAAGTGGGGGGTAGTCTTATAGAGCAAATATAGGCCTAAACCTATGTTTTAACTGTAAAAATTAGGGGGTCGTCTTGTACGCTGGAAAATACGGTATAAAAATGAACATTTATGTGTTCTGGGAACTGTCTGGGGTTGAATATAGAGAGATGATTTCTCACTAAATTGTATATATAAATCTATGCATTTCACTGCATATAGTTTATCTAAAAAAAACAACAACCAAACAGCTTGTTTATTATGTTTTATTTATACCTCAAAAATCAAAGCAAAGAAAAAAACCCTGACAGAGATAAAGGAAAGACAACAAGTACACATTCTAGACAATAGATGAAAGCTAGCTTTTAATCAAAAGAATACCAGTCACTAGTGACCAGCGCAAGGTTCTCATCATACATTGCCATGCTAGGTTCAGAGCAAGGGTGGATTTCTCACTGACCTAGATCTCTGACAGGGCCACCTGGTCAGCCTAGAGAGATGACAGTGTTCTGAGGAACAGCCACCTGGTTTAGGAGAGTGCCTGAGTCAGAAGCAGCATGCAGATACTTCCTGTTGACATGGTTCTTCAACTATTGGACCCACAGTCTGTTTATACAAAAACCACTTGGGACAACATGAAAATTTGGACCATCGTCATAATCCAAGTAAATTCCAACTTTATGTCCAAAATCACCAGCCAACTCCTCCAAAGGCCTGGGGTTCGAACCAAATGGAGAATGGATTGGGCCACTCGTTTTATATCCAGAATCAGATTTTGCAAAAGGATGGCTGAGCTCCTCTGTGAAGCCCTTCTCAGGCAGTCAGTCCTGCCTCCCTGTGATCCTGAACACTTGGGAGAACATGTCAACCACACCCAGGCCACAGACTAAGCTCCCCTCCAGGTAGGAGAAACCTCATGATATAAAATGAGGTAGGCTGCTTGTTTGACTATGTAAATAAATATGCATAATGGCAATGAAGTAGGACAAGGCAGTATTATGGGATAAACATTTCTTTATTACTACCAAGTTAAACAAAGCTCATGATGTTCCAAACCCAATACCGCATAAAATGCTCTCCAAATGGAGTCCTAAAACATACTGTGCGATTCTAGACAGTAGGTTTACTGTTGGAAAGTGGCTCAGATGACAGTGGCAAACAGGAGCAGAGCCATAACTTAAACACTGGAAGACTGGGAATGGCAGCATTAAAACCTTTGAAGAGCTGAAACCAGTTTGGCTCAGTGGATGGAACGGACTGAGGGGTCCCAGGTTCAATTCCAGTCAAGGGAATGTACATTGGTTGTGGGCATGTCTCCAGTAGGGTGTGTGCAGAAGGCAGCTGGTCAATGTTTCTCTCTCATCGATGTTCCTAGCTCTCTATCCCTCTCTTCCTCTCTGTAAAAAATCAATAAAATATATTTAAAAAACAAAACAAAACACCTTTTAAGAAGCTTCAATAAAGCCACATGACTACATAGGCTGAATACTCTCTCTCACAGATGGGTCAAAAGTAGACCAGGCTAATGGCAGGTTGGAAGGAGCTATTCTGGTTACCAATGTCAGTGCTGGGCAGGGAGCGTAGCTCAGCTTTCTGCTGAATAACAATTCCCAGAAGTCCAACTCATCCTTTCCTCTAATGTACATGGCCTTCCACAATCAGTACATGACCACATGGTCGAACCAGACTCTTGGACACACCTCTGGTAGCAGGGAGCCTGACTCTAGTAACTCACTCTCTTCCCAGGCAACTCTAACCAATACATCCACTACTCGCACTGGGAAGAACCGTTCTACAATAGGACATGTCCAAGCAGCCATAAAGATCGGCCCTGCCGAAACCAGTTTGGCTCAGTGGATAGAGCGTCGGCCTGCGGACTGAAAGATCCCGGGTTCGATTCTGGTCAAGGCAGCTGACCGATGTTTCTCTCTCATCGACGTTTCTAATTCTCTATCCCTCTCAATTCCTCTCTGTGTAAAATCAATAAAATATATTAAAAAAAAAAAAAAAAAAAGATTGGCCCTGATTGAGGGAATGGAGTTGGGAAGCTGTCATGATGTCATGAATGTTCTCATGTGGCATATAGCTCAAACGACTGGGTAATGGAAGCAGCCACTCAAATGATGATGTGGTGATGGCTTATATATAAGGATAAAGGGCAATAAATGACAAATTCAAATCTAATTATTCTATCTGCCTCTCAGCAGGATGGGCAGACTAAATCCTGGCTGCCCCTAATATAATAAGCATTTAGTAAATACACAGTAGGCAAAATAGGATCTCTATTGACAGATCAGGGACTGCTGGTGATGTTCACCTTTGCGGTTTTCTGTTTTTTCAACATTCTACACTGAATATATCTCTCTAAGGGTGACAAAGTGAGCCTTTGCTCATAAAAAAAGACTAAAGTGGGGGAGAATAAGAAAAGTAGAAAGAGACAACTACTCCTAAAAAGAGAAAATAGGGAAGAAAAATTTTAAATGTAGGCTTGGACAAATAAAATATTTCTCCTTAGAGAAATAACATCGTTATGTAATTTGGATAATCAAAAGAAAAAACTCAATCACTTGGCACCTACCCAGAAAACATCTTCACTAGCTCATGTCTTATTCTAAGTACCCACATGGTAGGGTTTTATTTAGCCGAAACTTTATACTACACTTCACTCTACAAGCTCTCTCATATCACTCCTCTGCTCCACAGAACACCAGTGTTCACCCCAGCAACAGCTCACATCTTTACTGTTGCTCAAAAACTAGGAAAACTTAGCGAATAACTACATTCTTATTTTATACAAAAACACTGTTGCCAATTTTCCATATTATAAGTAATTTAATAATAAACATTAACAGAAAAGCCTTTCCTATATTTCAGATTGTTTTTAAAAAAAATATATTTTATTGATATTTTACAGAGAGGAAGAGATTTTTTACAGAGAGCTAGAAACATCGATGAGAGAGAATCATCGATCAGCCGCCTCCTGCACACCCCCCACCGGGGACGTGCCAACAACCAAGGCACATGCCCCTGACCCCCCTGACCGGAACCGAACCAGGGACCCTTCAGTCCGCAGACCGACGCTCTATCCACTGAGTCAAACCGGTTTCAGCCAGATTGCTTCTTTAGGATAGAATCACAAGAGGAGAACTATGTGAGAACTCTTGGGTGGAAGCAAATGGGTATCTGGAATTCCCATTTGCCACAAAGAAGGCAAAGTAAGATTATTTTTTTTTAAGCTGAAAAGTTGGTGAAGAGGCAGTTATTCTTAGCAAGTTTCCAGAATTAATTTCCATGGTTGTGATCTTTCAAATTTTTTAATATTTTAATTGAAACATTTTATTTTCTACATTCAAAATACACCTACTACTCTAATATAATAAATACTAACACTGCCATTTTAATGTTCATTTTCTCAAAAATGTAGTTTTATTGATTTCAGAGAGGAAGGGAGACAGAGAGAGAGAGACAGAAACATCAATGATGAAAGAGAATCATCGATTCTTCCTTTCAGGTCTCATCTTACCTGCCACTAAAAATCTCAGAATTTTAACATTTGGTTACTGTATTTCATTTTCAGAAGTTGTACTAACCTATATGACTTTAGTTTTTTTCTATGCAGAAGTGTAAGATTGCCTTAATTCTTTGAATATAAAAACACTCTGAAGTCACCATTTCCACTTGTTCTTCTTGCCTGTTTTCTTACTTGGATTATCTCGTATTGTAAGCTGCTAAAAGTTCCTGGAAAACATGTGAGGATCCTCAAGATCTAGGAAGATGATGCCTTTGTCCAAAGACGATGGCTTTCATTTACTTTTTTTTTTTTTTAATATATACTTTATTGATTTTTTACAGAGAGGAAGGGAGAGAGATAGAGAGCTAGAAACATTGATGAGAGAAACATCGATCAGCTGCTTCCTGCCCCGCCACGCCACCTCCCCCCCCCCCCCCCCCCCGGATGTGCCCGCAACCAAGGTACATGCCCTTGACCGAAATTGAACCTGGGACCTTTCAGTCCGCAGGCTGATGTTGTATCCACTGAGCCAAACCGGTTTTGGCTCATTTACTTTTAAGTCTTTTAAATTGGCTGCAAAAGCACAAGGGGAGGAGGGGGAGAGCACAAAGGCTGGCCTTTTGTTCACCTCTCAGGAACAAATTCTCTATTCCACTCTTTCTGGACTCCACTCAGTGCCTTGTGGTTCTCCAGATGGTGTTTACTCCAGCACTCCAGGATCCCAGATTACTAGTGTGTGTGACTCTAGTATAATGGCTCCCAGCCCTGAGGGGCTAGGCTCTGACTTCTGAATCAGTCCACAAGACTATCAATACCACAGCTTAATTCTCTAGGTCAGTTTCTCCTGGTGCAGGAAGCAGCACATGTGTGTAAAATCTTCAGGGGTACTTTATCCCCAGCACCCCAAAAGTATTTCATTTCATTCTGTCTTCTGTTGCTGTTGAGAACTCATCTGTTGGTCCTTTATAAGTAATCTGCCTTTTCTCTCTACTTGTGTGTGTGTGTATATATATATATATATATATATATATACATACTTTAAAATATATTTTATTGAGTTTTTACAGAGACAAAGAGAGAGGGATAGAAAGCTAGAAACATCGATGAGAGAGAAACATTGATCAGCTGCCTCTTGTACACTCCCTACTGGGGGATGTGCCCGCAATCAGGATACATGCCTTTGACTGGAATCAAACCTGGGACCTTTCAGTCCGCAGGCTGACGCTCTATCCACTTGAGCCAAACTAGTTTTGGCTCTAATTGTTCTTACGACCGCTTTTTAAGGTGTTCTGCAGTTTTGAGGTTTTTTTAGAGACAGTCTGCTCAGTTCTTACAGTTTACTGTTTTCTTCAGCTACTTTAATTTGCAGTTTAACTGTTTATTTCAACGACTACTTTTTCACTTCTATATTATAAGTATTCCATATCCCCATTTTTTAAAAAATAGTATCTCCTTTCATTGGGTTTCTATTCCTTTTTTCAAAAGTCTCTAGTCATTGTGAACATTTTTTGTGGTATATTATTTCCTCATGTGGCTATGAGCTCATCTTATGTCTATGGCTTATAAGTGTCCCTACACAGGGTAATCTCATCTTTGTTTTTGCCCACAGTGATAGGATTTATTTTACATTCTTCCAAAGATTTGTGTGCAGAGTATAAACTCAATACACATATGAGCATACGGGACTGAGATTCTCCAACAAGGAGGCAAAGCCCCACGCCTATATTTCACACACAAGCTTTGCCACTTTCTTTGGTCGAGGTGTTTGGTCCTGTTTTCACATCTTTCCAAAGTCCTAGACAAGTGTGTGGATGCAGAGGTTTCGAAGGAGATTCTCAGTTCTAGCTCCCTCACCTTGTACAGTCACAACTCCTCTCTCTGCTAATTGATACAACTCAAGTTCCTGTTATACAAGTGCAAATCACCACAGTAGGTGCCCCTGAGTTTATCACTGATTTTCAGTTCCCTCTTCTTTCCTGTAATCTGGACTTTTTTTTTTCTCTCAAGCTTGGCTTCTTTATTTATTTATTTTATTATTATTTTTTATTATTATTTTTTTAATATATTTTATTGGTTTCGTACAGAGAGGAAGGGAGAGAGATAAAGAGCTAGAAACATTGACGAGAGTCATCGATCAGCTGCCTCTTGCACACCCCCCACTGGGGATATGCCCTCAACCAAAGTACATGCCCTTGACCAGAATCGAATCCGGGTCCCTTCAGTCCCCAAGCCGACGCTCTATCCATTGAGCCAAACCGGTCTCGGCAAGCTTGGCTTCTTTAAATTTGAATTATAGTATGAACATCTCCAGGTACATGTGTGGGGGAGGTGAGGAAGGAAGATCCAGGACACAGTTATTCTACACTGAGTGGCCAGATTATCATATTATGATCTCTGAACGCTTAATAATCTGGCCACTCAGTGTATGTGTATCTCAAATGGGTACTTTTGCTGGAGATCAACCACCTGTTTGCCCTGAGCTTTCTATTAGCCAGTGCAAAGGGAAAACGGATCAGGTGCACGATTTATAGTATCTTTAATATCAAATAAATGAGGTACTCAAGAGAAGTACACTGAGTGGCCAGATTATTATACTTTCAGAGATCATAATAACCTGGCCACTCAGTGTAGAATAACTATGTCCTGAATGTGAGTCAAGAAAGTATCAAATCCTGCCCCAACTAGTTTGGCTCAGTAGATAGAGCATCGGCCTGCAGACTGAAGGGTCCCAGGTTTGATCTGGTCAATCTCCAGTAGAGGGTATGCAGGAGATAACCGATCAATGACTCTCCCATCATTGATGTTTCTATCTCTCTCTCTTCAATAAAAAAAATATAATAAAAAAGAAATTATCAAATCCTTACTCTCTGGGATCATGTCACAGCTCAAGATCAACACATGTAAAAACTTACACCTATAACTTGTATCATTCAAACATTTCTGTGCTTGCTAGGATACAATGTATTTAACTCTAGAAACTCAGTCATCCAGAGACGTCATTTTATGTATGTATGTATTTATTTATTTTTAAAATATATTTTATTGATTTTTCACAGAGAGGAAGAGAGAGGGATAGAGTCAGAAACATTGATTAGAGAGAATCATCAATCAGCTGCCTCTTGACACCCCCTACCGTGCCCGCAACCAAGGTACATGCCCTTGACTGGAATTGAACCTGGGACCTTTCAGTCTGTAGGCCGATGCTCTATCCACTGAGCCAAACCAGTTTCGGCTGGAGACGTCATTTTAATAATATGGAGAGGAAACTTCTATGAAGGAAGAAGTTTCAAAACATCATCTAGACAAAAGGTAAAGACTTTAGGAAAGGTGTATATGTGACAAAGTGGCCTCAATAAAAGCACAGTCATGTGTACATGAGTTGGAAGAAACCAGCAGCAGTGAAGAATATTTTGTAGCCAGAATGAGAAGGCTTTCAAAAACCCATATAAGGAATTTATATTTTATCCTAACTGTAGAAAATAAAGCCCCTGAAAAATCAAGCTGATATATGAAACAAACAAACAAACAAACAAACAAACAAATAAAAACAAACAAAAAAAAAACAGATTGGCCTAACGGAAATACAACTTTGGCAGCTATCGATAAAACAAATTAAAATAACCTAGAAAAACAGGAAAACTATGTAATGATTGCTGCAAGAACCTAGATGGGAGACAACGTGGGGTTTTTTTTCCTTCTTTTATTTTTTTATTTTATTTTTTTTTTTTTCTGCCTAAAGCACTAGGCAGGGATAGTAAGAAAGGAAAAAAATTAGGTATTTTGGAGACAAAGTAGGAACCTGTGCTAAATTTAGCAATCAAAACAACCTAGAAAGTCCAAGTTAAATTTTTAGTATGTCTCACACTATATTTGAAACATGCTTGGTGTCTTGTATTTTATCTGGCAATTCTACCTGTAGCAAATAATCTATGAATATAACAATAGGATTTGAAGAACAGGAAGGGGAAATGTCTCAACATGAAGGGTTAAGATTCAATGAACTAAAGAGGCTTGTTGAGACGTGTGCTTACCTGCATTGTAACTAGTCTGTCATCCACCATCACCTCCTTTGTCAGAAAGTCTGCTCCTATTGTGGCTTTGTACTGATTACTGAATTTCTTGTTCACATACTGGTTCATGAGTGATGTCTTACCAACTCTGAAATTGGAGAAAAACCACAAGCATAAATCACCTAGGGAGGGAGCGAAGCTGATTCTGATACTTGCAGCTTTGAAGGAACCTGCCTGTTGTGAAGAACGGGAAAATGAGCTCACACACAGGGCAGACAGCAAAATTCCCAGCATTACTCATTTGAGTTTGTATTTTCTTCTGGGATAAAAACACAGGATACAAATGTGGGTCACAAGTTCAAAGCTGATATATACAGGGTGTCCACAAAAAAATGTATATACACTTAACAGCTAATAGCTTAAATGATGTTTCTTTCTTTTCAGAGATAACACACTGGAATTAATCGTTATTCAAAGTGTGTATATATTTTTTGGGACACCCAGTATATGTATTTTATTGATTTTATGGAGTGGAAGGGAGAGAGGTGGGGGAAGGATGAGAAAGAAACATTGATTTGATTGACTGTCTCCTGCACACACCCCAACCGGGGATCAAATCCGCAACCTATCAATACATACGTGCCCTGACCTAGAATTGAACCTACAATCTTTTGGTATATGGGATGACGCTCCAATCAACTGAGCCACACTGGCCAGGATACTGCTTATTAGTTTTGGTACAGACAATTCAGTAGGTAGAACTTTTTTTTTCCCTTCCAGAAGGATGCCAGCAAATATACTCCAAAAATATCTCTGCTGTCTCTCCACTTAATGGTTGTTATTCAGTCCAAAAAATAATAGCAAGAGACAGCCATTGGATTTGAGAGATACACAGGACAGTCAGCTAGCCAGCCGCTTCAAAGTTTCAAATCTAAAACAGAAAAAGCACCAATATTCCACCATACCAGAATCTACCTCAAAGTATGCTCTTCCATACATGCTTTTCAATAAGAAAGTTAAACAAGAGGCCATGTATGATTTTTCTCCTGATGAGGTTAGGCAGGCAAGCTGGATATAATGCAAAAAGCCTTCCTCATGGCAATAACATCACCTTCCTTTCTCACAAAGGAGCACATTCCTTTTCATGTGCAGATGACCTGAAAATACAGACACAGCCTAAGGCACAATTCTCCAACCCAGACCACTTGAATCAGAAGTTCTAGGAAGCATTTGGAACCAAGGCCTGGTGTTTCTTTTCAGGCAAGTCTGACTAACACAGCAGCACGCCAGAATCATCAGGAGAGTGGGTGTATGTGTGTGAGTGGGAGAAAAGGAAAGAGGAGGGGGAGGAGGGAGAAGAGAAAGAGGAAAGAAGAGAGGTGGGAGAGAGACACACAGAGAGAGAGAAATGAATTCTTGTATGTGCCCTGACTGGGACTCGAACCTGCAACCTTGGCATGTTGAGATGACGCTCTAACCAAATGAGTGATCTGGCCAGGGCTAAATGCTAACTTTTAAAAGGCTACTCAGGTGATTGATTAAAAACCAGCCAGGGCAGAAAAATTGCTGCCTTTTTAAAGGAAGGGCAGGGATCATTGGGATAAGGAGGCACACCTGTATTCATTATTATTAATTTAAAAAATATAATACAGCCTCCAGTAGGTCTAAGCTTTCATAAATCACTTTAGAAGCCAAGTTTAAAAAACCTCCCACAGAATCTTAGCAGTTATTAAATGGCAGATCTTGGATCAGAACCCATTTCCCTAGTCCCAGGCTCTTTCAAACACTGAAACAGGCATAGCAGTAGGAGGATACTGCACATACTCCAAGCCCACATCTAGGGCACAATGCCAACAGCAACAAATCTACATAAACAGAAGTCCCTAGTCCAGTGGTCGGCAAACTGTGACTCGAGAGCCACATGCAGCTCTTTGGCCCCTTGAGTATGGCTCTTCCACAAAATACCACATGTGGGCACGCGTGTACAGTGCAACTGAAACTCCGTGGCCCATGTGCAGAAGTCGGTTTTCAGCTCTCAAAAGAAATTTCAATCGTTGTACTGTTGATATTTGGCTCTATTGACTTATGAGTTTGATTATTAGCTGAGTTCAAATAGTCACCCTTTTCCCAAAAATCATGCCAAAAATCAGAGAACATAGGGTTACATAACAAGGAATAATTCCAATTTCTATGGTGCCCCCAAATAGCAGGCAGACCGAGGGACCTAAAGCCACTGCAATTAGAGGAGGAAGTGGCAATGTCAGCATGGCGGGCATGGGTTCCAAGGAAGTGAAGCTTAAATCCAAGACAATCTGTTAGGTCAAATTTATGAGAAACACTTACCCTGAATCTCCCAGGATGATAACCTTCAGCAACACTTTCTTCCTAGAGGTCATCCTTCAAACTAAAAGAAGAAAGAAAGCACTGTAAGTGGATGGAAAACACCAAGGTGAACCATTTTCCTTGGCACAAACACCTACGCAAGTGCCCCAGGAGAACTGTCTCTTCAACCCTCCTGCTGGCCATTTCCCCTACTATCTAGGGACTATTATGGAGACCAGTATCAGTCACTAGAACTCTGGACCCCAAAGTTAGACAAAGGCACATGGCAGGGTCATCCTGCCCCTGGGGAGCAGCCTGAGAATGGATTGTCCCACTTGGATGTGGGATCCCATCTCAAGAAACCACTTTCCTTGCTGATCCGCAAGAAGCATCTCCTCATCCATTCAAGTCTTATCATGAGATTGCAGAATCAGTCCCATCTTCAGACTCCAATGTAATTCTAGCTCTCTTGCTGTTTCCAGCACATTTACAGTTACTTCCTGGACTGGGTAGGGTCTTGAATCCCTCAAAGTCATCCATGAGGGTTGGAATCAGCTTCTTCCAAATTCCGGTTAGTGTTGCTATTTTGACTCTTCTCATGAATCATGAATGTTCTTAATGAAATCTAGAATGGTGACTCCTTTCCAGAAGGTTTTCAATTTACTTTGCTCATGTCCATCAGAAGAATCACTATCTAAGACTTGACAGTTAAAATTACTCCTTGGCCCATGTGCTGCAGAATGGATGATATGAAAACAACATGAATCTCATACATCTCTTGGGTGACCAGCTGCATTGTCAATGAGCAGTAATATTTAGAAAGCAATTTTTTTCCTGAACAGTAGGTCTCAACACTGGGCTTAAAATATTCAGTAAACTATTTTGCAAACAGATGTGCTGCAGGTTTTTTTGTTCCATTTATAGAAGACAGGCAGAGTAGATTTAGCATAATTCTTAAGGGCCCTGGGATTTTTGCAAGTTTAAGTGGGCACTGGCTTCAAATTTACATCATTAGCTGCATTAACCTCCTACAACAGTCAGGGCTGATCTTTGAGGCACTGACTTCTCCTCTTGCTATGGAGGTCCTAGATGGTAACTTCTTCCAATATAAGACTGTTTCATGTGCAGTGAAAATCTGTTTCGTGTAGCCACCTTCATTATTTTAGCTAGATCTTCTGGATAACTTGCTGCAGCTTCTATATCAGCACTTGCTGCTTCACCTTGCACTTCTATGTTATGAAAATGGCTTCTTTTCTTAAACCTCACTGACTAACCTCTGCTGGCTTCAAACTTTTCTTCTGCAGTTTCCTCAGCGCTCTCAGTCTTTATAGGATTGTTTTGAATTAGACTTTGTCTTTTTAAAAATATATATCTTTTTATTTATTTGAGAGGAAAGGAGAGGGAGAGACTTAATTGACAGTCCGCCTCCTGCACTACCCCCACTGAAGATCAAGCATGCAATCATGGCATGTGCCCTGACTGGGAATTGAACCGTTACCTCCTGGTTCATAGGTTGACACTCAACCACTGAGCCATACCGGCTGGGCTAGACTTTGTCTTAAGGGAATGTTGCAGCTGGCTTAATCTTCCAACCAGACCACTAAAACTTTTGCCACATCAGCAATAAGTCTGTTTGGTTTTCTTATCATCCTTGTGGTCACTGGAATACCACTTTTAATCTTCAAGAACTTTTTCTTTGTTTGCAGGCGCAAGAGGGTGAACTTTCGACCTATCTCAGCTTTCAAACGTGCCTTCCTCACTGAGCTTAATTATTTCTAGCTTTTGATTAAAAGTAGGAGACATGTGACACTTCCTTTTACTTGAACACTTAAGAGGCCACTGTAGAATTAATAATTGGCTAATTTCAATACTGTTGTATCTTAGGGAATAGGGAGGCCCAAGGAGAGGGAAAGGCAATGAAGACTGATTGCTGGAGTAGTAAGAATACACACAATGTTTGTCGATTGCATTCACCCTCTTATTTATATGGCCATGTTTTATGGTACCCCACCCAAATAATTACAATATTAACATCACAGATATTATAATAAATCCTATATAATAAAAGGCTAATATGCAAATTGACCGAAAGGTGGAACAACTGGTCGCTATGATTCCCACTGACCACCAGGGGGCAGACACTCAATGCAGGAGCTGCCCCTTGATGGTCAGTGTGCTCCTTCAGGGAGAGCACCGCTCAGCCAGAAGCCAGGCTCATGGCTGGCAAACACAACGCAGTTGCAGGAGCTTCTCCAGCCTCTGCAGCAGCACTAAGGCTATCTGACTGCCGGCTTAGGCTTGCTCCCCATCAGTCAGCTATCCCTCAAGGGCTCCTGGACTGTGAGAGGGCACAGGCTGGACTGAGGGACATCCCCCACCCCCCGGGCATGAATTTCATGCACTAGGCCTCTAGTATATTAATAATGAACAATTTTGAAATATTGAGAGAATTATCAAAATTAACAGAGACGAAGTAAATGTTGGAAAAATGGCGCTAATAGATTTGCTCAAAACATGGTTATCACAAACCTTAAAATTGTATCAAACAAACAAACACCCCCTCCTCCCAATATCTGCAAAGTACTATAAAGAGGTATGAGTTTATATTCCAAATTACCTGTTAAACAACCATTTTCCCCACAAGGGACTGCCTTTACCAGGGTTTAAGAGTCTCATCCCAAGGTCTGGTATCACACTTTGGACTAGAGATCAGAATATCACACTTGGGGCAAATTTCAAATCCAAAGAAGGGTAAATTAAGGGAAAGGATAAATAGAAGATGAGAAGCTTTACAAAAAAATTCTTGAAGATTATTTAAGAAAGTCATTAATTTTGGGGATGGGAAAAGGGATTTCTATAACTGGGTTTAGTGAGTTTCACTAGTGTACTCAGTATTATTAACAATATCAGAAAGAAAGAAAGCAGGAAACAAGCTCCCTAGTCCTGTATGACAGATTTCATGTTCCATTTGCCTTTTTGCTTACACAGGCTGCAGGCTTGTCTGCGTGGCCATCTTGTAAGGCTGACCCTGTTGGGCAGCAAGGAGCGTTTCCTCGTCTGCAAATTCCAGTGGAAGTAACACAAGAAACGACCCAAGGATGCAGTGCACAGGTCCCATAAATCTCCACTATAGCAGTCACAAAGCCTCAGCACGCAATTTAGTATTTTATTTCTCTCACATTTTCACTTAGGGCTTGCTAAATATTTGGAGGTTGTTGCAAATGTCGATCAATAGTTGATCGTAAGAAATCACACATCTGGTTTCACTAGGACATTAAATGGTTTTAAACTGATAAAAGGTTAAGAGATATGTTTTTGGCCCTAACTGGTTTGGCTCAATGGACAGAGTGTCAGCCTATGGACTGAAGGGTCCCAGGTTCGATTCTGGTCAAGGGCATGTACCTTGGTTGCAGGCACATCCCCAGTAGGGGGTGTGCAGGAGGCAACTGATGGATGTTTCTCTCATTGATGTTTCTGACTCTCTATCCCTCTCCCTTCCTTCTGTAAAAAAATCAATAATATATATTTTTAAAAAGATGTGTTTTTTAAAACCAAAAAGTCATCAGTAAAATGTTGCTTCAATGGCACGAAAGTCTTTTTTGCATCGAATTGTAACTGGCAATGAAAAGTGGATTTATTTTGAGAATCTGAAATGCACAAAATCATGGGTTGATCCAGGTCAAACATCAACATCGCCTGCAAAGCCAAATCACTTCTGAAAGAAGACAATGCTCTGCGTTTGGTGGGATCAGGAAGGTGTGGTATTATGAGCTTCTAAAATCCGGTGAAACAGTTAATACTGATCACTAATGACAACAAATAATCAATTTGAACCATGCTTTGATCGTACAACGACCAGAATGGTCCAGAAGACACTGCAAAGTAATTTTGTTTCATGATAATGCACCATCACACACTTCAAAACCAGTTAAAGACACGTAAAAAGATCTTGCCTGGGAAGTATTAACGCACCTGCTGTATTCACCAGACCTTGCTCCTTCAGATTACCACTTGTTCCGATCGATGGCACACACACTTTCTGAGCTGCACTTCAAAACGTACGAAGAGGTGGAAAATTGGGTCTCTGAATGGTTTGCCTCAAAACAAGAAAAGTTCTATTGGGACGGTATCCACAAATTACCTGAAAGATGGTGGAAATGTGTAGCTAGCGATGGACATTACTTTGAATAAAGCACTTTTGATGTTTCTCTTAAAATTATTGTGTTTTTCTTTGATTACAAAATCTGCACTTCCTTGGAAATGAGCCTTTTAGGTAACATTCATTATTCTGATTATATATAAACATCTTCTAAAACCTTTCTAGAATAAGGTACATTCAAAACACATCTTCTTTCTTCTGCTATCAAACCAAACCTCAACAGTGTGCTTTAGAAAGAGTTCCCTAGAAGAACAGCCATTTTGGTGACAAACACTAACAGTATTCCATATGCTGAATTGATTCTTTCCCTCAAGTACCTTTCTTGTATAACCAATCAAAATGTAGAATTTCTCTTCACTAACCTGGAGTTATCATCACTTTTCTCATCTCTGAAGCAGAGAAGTAAAATAACCATGTAGACAGACACAATAAGGAAACACCAAGCAGGTAAAAAGGTCAGGGAAAATACCTTTCAAGGATCTAGGCTGGGCAGGGTTAGGGAGGGCAGAAAAGGCCTGACAGACAATACAAAGGGGTGTGTGTGGGAGGGTGGGGGGCGCAAGGGGGGAGTGGGAGCGGGGGTGGGGGGGTGGGAAGGAGGCTGAGAACAAAAGCATGGGAAAAACAAGAGCAGGGAAGAGTAGTGAGGTGGGGGTCAGTGGGCCATTTCAAAGTCTGAATTTCTGTAAGGAGGACAATTTTGCATGGTGATCAGAAACACAATTACAGCTCAAGTGGAGGTGAAGCCATAAAGGTAACAGTGTAAAATGCAGGGAATTAAACTGAACCAGGAGTTTAATCAAATAAGGTAGGGCTGGAATTATCAGTACTGAAGGGTCCCAGGTTCGATTCCAGTCAAGGGCACATGCCTGGGTTGCAGGCTCAATCCCAGTAGGGGGCATGCAGGAAGTAGCT